TTAAAAATTTGAAAAATGGTTAATACTATTGAATATAATAAAACTTTGTTTAAATCTATTTGTACGACAAATTGGTGTGTTGAATGTTCGCCTCCTCCTGAGGGCTATGTTGGTGGACTTGCGCGGAGGTAATAGGCTATACAGCTTATGGTTACTGTCATCATTAATTTCTTTGAAGAGCTGCTCTGTCAGGTCTTTGCGCCGTTGGTGAAGGGTCGTCATGCTGTGTTCATTAAGAGCTTGCTCATAGTTCAGGGCGGGTGAGATTATCTTAAGAGCTCGTCGCTGAATTGTTTCTAGCTCTTCAGAGAGGTAGCGAGGAAGACCATCATGGAAAGTCATGAAAAAATGGGTTCTTATAAGCAGGTAAGTACTGTATAAGATAAGTAAATTGTTTTCGGTCAGTTAAGAATAAAGTATCGTTTTAAAGCAAACAGCAATCAAACCTTCTCAGAGCCATCTGCGTTTTTAAACTGACTCCAATGTTGTCCATCACTAGAATATTTCAGAGAATAGCTTGTAACGTAATCGTTAAAAAATCCACTTCCTTGAGAAGCCAAAGAACATAGTTTTCTGTTCTTGCCCACGTCGACCTGTAGATATTCACCATCACTATTCCCGCACCAAGCACTAGGGCTGTTAAGTCGACCGAATTCAGCCTTATAGTAATCCAATCCCATGGCTGAGGATGTCTTGAAGTTCTGATTGGGTAATATCGAGCCATATTCGGCTCCAACCGACTTTGAAGACAAACATCCACCTAAAATTGCAATGATTGCTTTGATTGTTGTCCATAGATAGAACTCAAAACATTGACTGAATAACAACGATAAAGGTTTTATCAGAGCTCATAGCTATTATAGGATACTTCATTTTATGCATTATAACATTTTATTATATAGATGATTTCTAACGCGCGCTCTGATTGGCCAAAAAAGTGTGCTTTATGAGAGTATAAACCACGATTGTGCGCGAGCGATTTTTGAAAAAGGCAACAAAATGGATTTTGCTTAAGTTTTGCTCAAAATCTATATAATAAAACAAATAAATAAGTCTCAGCCTGTGGTTTACACTCTGATAAACGCACACTTGGCATTTGAAACACACTCAAAAATGTGTATATATCAGAGTATAAACCACGGCTGAGCCTTATTTATTTGTTAAATAGTGAATTTTGTCAAATGAAGCCTTGACTGCTGTTAATATGTAATTCCAAGCTTTCGCTGTCTACAGCATTGTCAGTGAAGGGCGGGTCGAGGGTGTCAGTGAAGGGCGGGTCGAGGGTGTCAGTGAAGGGCGGGTCGAGGGAGGGGCGACAATGCTGTAGACAGCGAAAGCTTGGAATCGCAGTCAAGGATTCATTTGACACAATTCTCTTATACGCATCATGCTGCTATAAAGGATAACGTCATGCGCATAACATTACAGTCTTTGAACAACGTATTGTCTTGTGATAGGACCTCATTTCATCCGTGGAATTGTACAAATCAAAATTCGATCAATCATTCTTTGAAACACCATTGTTGTTTCTATACACCATAAATTGCACTAAATAGTATCGAAAGAG